TTTTGGCCTTCCAAAGGGCCCCTTACTTGCATGTTGTGAAGTCACTTTTTAGGCCCAATTTGGTGAGTTTTATGGTCTGCCTTAGCTCTTTCCGAAGCCTCTTTGACCATATTTTGTGTCCCTCATGCATGTGTGGAACAATCCTCCTCAAGGCCTTTCAAGAGGACCTTTCATTGCATGCTTCCTTGACCCATTTCAGGGCCTTTTCGGTGAGTTTTAGGGTTGTCGTAATTGATTTCCAGAGTTGGTTTTGCCATGTTAAGTGTTCTTGTTGTATGTGTTGAGTAACGCCTTGCATGGCCCCCCATAAGGATCTCATCATTTTTGCATACATTGGATGCATTTCAGTGGTTATTTGGAGTTTATTTCACATGCCATGTTACTGTTTTGGGCTGGTTTTGTGACCTCTCTTATGCTTCATATACATTCCATGTAAACCATGCTTATTAGCCTAGGTTGCATGTTGTTTTAGCCCTTCATGTTTGCACTTTTGGGCCATGCTTAGAACTAATGTTGTGCTTATTTTGGACTGCCTTGGCTCTGTTTTAATGCCTCATAGCCAAATAATGCTTGCTTCGCATACTTGTGGTTCAATGCATTTGTCTAGTTTTGAGTTTCGGGGCCTCTTTCATGCATTGGGTGCCATATTTCCATGATTCGCGACCATTGCGCATCATATTTCAGTGCTGAAAATTGCATGTTTGTATGCCATCTTTCATCCCTTGCCATGCTTTGGTAGAGTGGCATTTGATGCCTTAGGTTCGGTCCTTGGTATTTGTGCATGTGTGCACGCATTTCGGTTGTCTCATTTTCATCTAATGGCCATTGATGTGAGTGTGGCTGAGGTCCAGTCATGTTAGTGTAAGTCCATCGTGCATTGTGTATGCCATTTCGGTCCATAGCATTGTGTATGCTGAGTTGCATGTTAGAGCATTGTGTGTGCCATGTTACATCGAGCATTGTGTATGCCATTTCATAGCATTGCGTATGCTAGGTTGTATGTTAGTTGCATTGTGTATGCCATCTCATTTGCATTGTGTTTGGGATAGGAGTTAGCCCAAGCACGGGAAACGAGGGACATTTCGTACTCCGAGTGACGGAACGTGTCTCAATTCCCGGTCGCCGACACTCCGGATTACCCATGATGGAGTTTAGGTCTTGTCGTGTTTATATGTGCATTCATTTCACATTGAGTTGTGCAATTTGACTTCTCGACCATCATGCATCGAGATGCGTGATTGGTGGCATGAGGATTGAGGGCTACACTCCCTGAAGAGTAGTCATGCATACATATGTGAAAATACTTTGTTGTGCCCCTTTCTTGCTCTCTGTTGCAACAAATCAGAAATCAGCAGCTTTCTAAAGCCTTGCACAACATTCCGGCATTAATTGCAAACAGAGGCAAATCGGGACATCGCAATGGATTTCCGCACAAGGCAACTTGAACATGCATCTTTCATCATTCGGAACAGAGTTGAGGCGGTCCATGGATTTGCATGCTAATTTGCTTGTTTTCCTTGTTAAATTGTTAACTAATTAGGGTTTTGTACTTATTCAGGCTGTAATTATTATTCGGACTGTATTATTTATTCGGACCCTTCGAGCGAGGGCACAATTGTAATAAGTGTGTGTGCGTGTGATGCATGTCTTCCAACCCCACGTCTTTCCCCCTTTTATTTACCAGCTTATGATGGTTAGATTAGGGCATGTTTCAATTAGTATACTTATGCTCGCATGTTTGCATTCATTCATCTGTCTTGCATGCATTAGGCTCGGCGCATCATATTAACTACATTGTATTTCAATTCCAAGTTGAATACTTGTTAGTTGTAGCATCTCACATGCCATCTTTAGAATAGCCGAACCTATTGTAGTTGCATTCCAACATATGATGTGTTGCATTAGGCATTTCAGTATAGTTAAGATCATGCATGGATTTCTAACTTAGCTTTTGTTTTGGCTTGGAGTACTCGGTAAGTTTTATGCTTTAGCATCCTTGCGTGCATGTGAGTGACCGCCACGATAGCATGCTTACCATGAGGCTAACTGCTTACGTGGTATACCTGCCTAAATGCCTGTGGGTGAAGGTTGGGTTATTTGGATTGGAACAATTCATCAATTGTGAGTTTTAAGCCCACTTGAGAGTGGCAAATCATCTTGTTTTCTAAGCCCACCCGAGGGTGGCAAAATCTGCATGTTAAGCCTACTTGCGAGTAGCAAACCATTTTCAAAACAAACATGAGATGTGTTGTTCCAATTCAGGCGATCCGGTCTATATTTGTATGTTGTGCGTATCACATAGTAAATCTAGGCTAATAACCGGAGTAAGAGCACATAATGTTTTCAAAACTAGATATCATGGTTAGTAGAGGCCGATCTTTGATCGGGCGAGTGAGGGTGCTCACGAAGTGACCTTCCCCAATCGTACCCAAGTTCCCGAGCCGAGGCAACTTTGGTGATGACGGACACGTGACCTTAGGCAAACGAGTCAGGGTTTCCTAAATTTTTCAAAATAAAATATTTAGGTGGCGACTCTGTATCTGGCAAAGCAGTCCATGTTTGGCAATTCTTTAAAAAAAAAAATCTGTTTTCAAAAACGATTTGCCGGATTCAGACTCTTTGATGATTCATCGGTCTTGCATTGCACTCTGCGAGATTAGATACAGGACCGTGACATTGAGTCCTGAACTGTAGTGAGCCCAATGAACAAAACGGGAGGGATCTCCCTCCCGGGACGTTTGGGGACGTCTACAGCTGCTGCCCTGTATCTGTGTGTCTTATGCTGGTCTATTGCTATTTTTGTGTGTCTTGTGGTTGTTTTCTCTCCAACCTTGAGGTGTGCTAGCAAATGTTTGGGCATTTCTTGCGGTGCCAACCTAGTTGGGATCGTTTGGTTATGCCTTGATGCTTTTGCATTTCCTCATCATTTCTTTGATGTAATTCCTATCTATGTGTGGTATTATCATCAATAAAGGGTTATTTTTGCCATTCAAAAAAAGGTTGGCATATGTCTTCTTCCATTGCCCCATTTGTATTTCTATGTGAACTAGGCTACATAAGTATTAATATTACTAATGGTATACAAATATATTTGGTTATATATTTTATTTTATTTCATTACTTTATTTGACAATAATTTATACTTATTAATAAAATCGTATCAATTTTATTTTTCAGAATATTAAAAATCTAAAAATAATAATAATTTTTTTACACAATACTCATATGGTCATAGGAATCATGTGGTGTGGATCCCATAACCATATAAATATTATGTAGAATATTTAATAATTCTTTTAAAGTCTCTAAAATTGCTTTTATTGAGTAATGTTACCATACATATCAAAATAATAATAATAATAATAACAATAAAAGTATATATCATATACAAGTTATGATACCATAAAGTGTCATAATTTAATAAATTATAACCAAACACTTTTGAGGATAACCAAAGGCATCCTTAATCATAATCAAAATTACAATCATAATAAGTATAATTGAATAATAACTAAGGCCCCGTTTGTTTTGGGATATGAGAGGGGGATTGGGATTAGAATAGCCGTGGGCCCCATTTAATATATTGTTTGTTTGCAGAGTTGAGGAAGGAACTGCTAAGCCGAAGGACTTAGGATAGGCCTTGCAGATGAGATTTGGATCGGCCTCCAGGACTTGGTATTAGAAAAATAGTCCGGTAGACTAGAGATTTTTTATTTTTATTTATTTTTTATTTTATTTTTTACATGTCGGGTATTTTTTTTTAACATTAATGTTTAATTTTTTGTATTTTTTGTTAAGTAAAAATCATTATTTTATTTATTTTATTTTTTTTTGAATTTTTTTATTTTATTTTTATTTTTTTAAAATTTTTTACATGTTGGGCATTTTTTTTAAAACATTAATGTTTAATGTATTTGTATTTTTTTTATTTGTTTTATTATTTTATATTTATTTTATATAAAAATAATTTAACAATCCCAACACTAACAACTATCATCAAAACAAACACAGTTTTACTTAATCCCCTCAATATTAATCCCCTCACTATCAATCCCCTATATTCTACCTCTGAAAACAAATTGGGCCTAAGAATCATAATCAGACACCATTTAAAGTATAACCAAAGAAACATATTTTCGGTTATAAACTAAAATAACAAGAATAGGTCGTAATTAACTTATAACTAACACCACAATAAGTGATAATTAGAACTTACAAATATTATAATTATAACCTAAGATATATAACCAAATATCACAAATATCATAATTATGGCATGTGATACCCTCCTTTTTCAAATGTATTATAAAACTTATTTTATTTTAAGTAGGAAAAGTGGAGTGTGTACTATATGCCTCAATTATGACATTCGTGATATTTGATTATGATCTATTTATATTAATTATAAATCAATTATGACTTATTATGATATTAATTATAACTTATTGTGATAAAATTTTAGTTATACTTTTTGTGAGTGTGTAACCATAAAAAGAAACTTTATGATGCACAATGTTACATATTTTTTTTAAGTATATGTTATATATTTTTAAGATAAATATTACATATTATTTGTTGTATTGTCACAAATATTGTGGTTAGAAAATATTTGAACTACGGAATACACAATATTATCACAAAAATATATAATATTATCATAAAATATCTAACTTTATTTTTAAATTACAAATTATTCTAATTCATACTTAAAAATAAAACAAAATTTATAAGTGTAATAAGATGCATATTATGTACCATAGCATAACCCGTTTAAATATCAAAGTTTTCATTGTCATATTCGTTATAAAAACACTATATAAAAAAAGTTTAAATAACATTTTACTGTATTTTTACATTGATATAGAATAAAGTTATATGCATTAATTGAGGTTCATTTTTACTGACGGATGATGTGATATAATTTTAAAAATTTTAATTTTTTTATAATTTGTATAATAAGTGAGATTTATAATGTCAAAATGACAATATTATATATACTAATGGGTATTCTTAGCAAGAAAATATTGGTTGATCTTAGAATACCGCTATATGATACCTTAACGGCATGTTTGATTGACAGAATTAGAGCATGAGATTGAGATTATTAATCCGTGGGCCCAATAATCCGGTGTTTGTTTTGAAATTTTATTTCAGAATTATTAATTAATCACAGAATTAGAGCATGAGATTGAAATTATTAATCCGTGGGCCCAATAATCCGGTGTTTGTTTTGAAATTTTATTTCAGAATTATTAATTAATCCAACAAATTTATATAGAATTACTAGTAGGGTTATGTGTGGGTTCAGGTGAGGAACGAGTACGGCTTGGGAGAGCCAGAGCTGTACGGAGAAGCGAACAGAGAAGATCCGAAAGCAGTGGTTGATGGAGTAGCTGTGGCTGGACTTGTTGGGATCTTGCGACAGTTAGGCGACCTCTCTGAGTAAAGTTTTCTATTTCTCTTCACTTTCCCTCTTCTCTAATCCCACTACTCATTTTTGGGTCATTGTCTAATTTGGTCTTGTAATGCTCAAATGTGTTGAATTTGGAATACTTTTTCCATTTCTTGCAATGCTAATTTAAAGAATCCAAAACATAAAATCATTCCAAGATTAAATCACTCTTAAACCATCTAATGATTATGTTTTGGCCCCTAAACTAGCTTTGCTAGTGCAAGGTATGAATATTGCTGAGAATCTCAATTGGTTTACTTTAGTTCATTGATTGCAATAAAACTACTTACCCCAAAATAATAATAATAATAATAATAATAATAATAATAATTGATTGCAATAACAAGATAGACTTATCTAGAGTTATGTATGTATCCATATAAGAAATTGTTGTAGCTAAATCACTAGGTTTTTTTTTTTTTTTTAATTTTTTTAAATAGCAAAATCACTAGTTAGTCACATACTCTGTAGTGGGTTATCGTACCAGGCATGAAATTACTGCTAATTAAGAAAGGCAAACCTCAAAGCCTATGAAGAATACATGCCATGATTTTATTTCTTAACATGCTAACAAAAAGTAATGTCCTTTAATCAGACATGTGATGGAATTTAAGGAGCATGTTAAGCACAATACTCTGCTTTATGGCATCTTGTGAAGAGGTTGTGGATTCAATGAAGCAATTAATTGTATTATTGTAATAAAAGATAAGTAATTCAAGCCAAATTGGGTGGGTGTAGACGTCCCCCGAACGCCCCGGGAGGGTTAAGCTCCCGTTCTGTTCATTTTGGGGTCACTACAGCTCGGACTCTTAAAATGTCACGGTTCTAAGTCTGAACCAAAGAGTCCAAATCCGGCATATTGTTTTAAGAAAACAGATTTTTGAAAGAAGTGCTAAACATGGACTGCTTTGCCAGATACAGAGTCGCCACCTAAATATTTTATTTTGGGAAATTTAGGAAACCCTGACTCGGTGCCAAAAGGCCACGTGTCCGTCATCACCAAAGCTGCCTCGGCTCGGGAACTTGGGTACGATTGGGGAAGGTCACTTCGTGAGCACCCCCGCTCGCCCGGATAGCACTACTACCAGCGTTGGTACTCCCTGAAATCACCTTTCTTGTCAATTCCCTTGTCCTGGGAATGATCCCGCTGTTGAACGCATTCTCGACTTGAACCCCCAGTTCATGCAAACTTTTGAAAGTGAATATATGCCATCTTAGAATAGCCGAGCCTGTTATAATCACATTTTGCATGTGTTGCATTAGGCATTTCTGTATAGTTAGGATCATGCATGATTTCTAATGAGTTTCTATTTTAGCTTGGAGTACCGGTAAGCTTTATGCTTTAGCATCCTTGCATGCGTGTGAGTGAATACCATGATAGCATGCTTACCAATGAGGCTATGTGCTTATCTGATATATCTGCCTGAATGCCTGTGGGTGAAGGTTGGGTTATCTGAATTGGAATAAATCATCAAATGTTTCAAGCCTACCTGCGGGTAGCAAACCATTTTCAAAAACAAACATGAAATGTTTCGTTCCAATTCAGGCGACCCGGTCTATATTTGTATGCTGTGCGCATCACATAGTAACCTGGGCTAATAAACCGGAATAAGAACTCGCAATGTTTTCAAAAATTGATATCATGGTTAGTAGAGGCCGGTCTATGACCGGGCGAGCGGGGTGCTCACGAAGTGACCTTCCCCAATCGTACCCAAGTTCCCGAGCCGAGGCAACTTTGGTGATGACGGACACGTGGCCTTTTGGCACCGAGTCAGGGTTTCCTAAATTTCCCAAAATAAAATATTTAGGTGGCGACTCTGTATCTGGCAAAGCAGTCCATGTTTAGCACTTCTTTCAAAAATCTGTTTTCTTAAAACAATATGCCGGATTTGGACTCTTTGGTTCAGACTTAGAACCGTGACATTTTAAGAGTCCGAGCTGTAGTGACCCCAAAATGAACAGAACGGGAGCTTAACCCTCCCGGGGCGTTCGGGGGACGTCTACACCCACCAATTTGGCTTGAATTACTTATCTTTTATTACAATAATACAATTAATTGCTTCATTGAATCCCAACCTCTTCACAAGATGCCATAAAGCAGAGTATTGTGCTTAACATGCTCCTTAAATTCCATCACATGTCTGATTAAAGGACATTACTTTTTGTTAGCATGTTAAGAAATAAAATCATGCATGTTCTTCATAGGCTTTGAGGTTTGCCTTCTTAATTAGCAGTAATTTCATGCCTGGTACGATACCCACTACAGAGTATGTGACTAACTAGTGATTTTGCTATTTAAAAAATTAAAAAAAAAAAAAAAACCTAGTGATTTAGCTACAACAATTTCTTATATGGATACATACATAACTCTAGATAAGTCTATCTTGTTATTGCAATCAATTATTATTATTATATTATTATTATTATTATTATTTGGGGTAAGTAGTTTTATTGCAATCAATGAACTAAAGTAAACCAATTGAGATTCTCAGCAATATTCATACCTTGCACTAGCAAAGCTAGTTTAGGGGCCAAAACATAATCATTAGATGGTTTAAGAGTGATTTAATCTTGGAATGATTTTATGTTTTGGATTCTTTAAATTAGCATTGCAAGAAATGGAAAAAGTATTCCAAATTCAACACATTTGAGCATACAAGACCAAATTAGACAATGACCCAAAAATGAGTAGTGGGATTAGAGAAGAGGAAAGTGAAGAGAAATAGAAAACTTTACTCAGAGAGGTCGCCTAACTGTCGCAAGATCCCAACAAGTCCAGCCACAGCTACTCCATCAACCTGCTTTCGGATCTTCTCTTCGCTTCTCCGTACAGCTCTGGCTCTCCAGCCGTACTCGTTCCTCACCTGAACCCACACATAACCCTACTAGTAATTCTATATAAATTTGTTGGATTAATTAATAATTCTGAAAAATAAATTTCAAAACAAACACCGGATTATTGGGCCCACGGATTAATAATTTCAATCTCATGCTCTAATTCTGTGATTAATTATAATTCTGAAATAAAATTTCAAACAAAACACCGGATTATTGGACCCACGGATTAATAATCTCAATCTCATGCTCTAATTCTGTCAATCAAACATGCCTTAAGGTATCATATAGCGGTATTCTAAGATCAACCAATATTTTCTTGCTAAGAATACCCATTAGTATATATAATATTGTCATTTTGACATTATAAATCTCACTTATTATACAAATTATAAAAAAATTAAAATTTTTAAAATTTTATCACATCATCCGTCAGTAAAAATGAACCTCAATTAATGCATATAACTTTATTCTATATCAATGAAAAATACAGTAAAATGTTATTTAAACTTTTTTTATATAGTTTTTATAACGAATATGACAATGAAAACTTTGATATTTAAACGGGTTATGCTATGGTACATAATATGCATCTTATTACACTTATAAATTTTTTTTATTTTAAGTATGAATTAGAATAATTTGTAATTTAAAAATAAAGTTAATATTTTATGATAATATTATATATTTTTGTGATAATATTGTGTATTCCGTAGTTCAATATTTTTCTAACCAACATATTTGTGACAATACAACAAATAATATGTAATATTTATCTTAAAAAATATATAACTATACTTAAAAAAAATATGTAACATTTGTGCATCATAAAGTTTCTTTTTATGGTTACACATCCACAAAAAGTATAACTAAAATTTTATCACAATAAGTTATAATTAATATTCATAATAAGTCATAATTGATTTATAATTAATATAAATAGATCATAATCAAATATCACGAATGTCATAATTGAGGCATATAGTACACACTCCACTTTCCTACTTAAAATAAAATAAGTTTTATAATACATTGAAAAAGGAGGGTATCACATGCCATAATTATGATATTTGTGATATTTGGTTATATATCTTAGGTTTATAATTATAATATTTGTAAGTTCTAATTATCACTTATTGTGGTGTTAGTTATAAGTTAATTACGACTATTCTTGTTATTTTAGTTTATAACCGAAAATAGTTTTCTTTGGTTATACTTTAAATGGTGTCTGATTATGATTCTTAGGCCCAATTTGTTTTCAGAGGTAGAATATAGGGGATTGATAGTGAGGGGATTAATATTGAGGGGATTAAGTAAAATTGTGTTTGTTTTGATGATAGTGTTTAGTGTTGGGATTGTTAAATTATTTTTATATAAAATAAAATATAAATAATAAAACAAATAAAAAAATACAAATACATTAAACATTAATGTTTTAAAAAAATGCCCAACATGTAAAAAATTTTAAAAAATAAAATAAAATAAAAAAATTCAAAAAAAATAAAATAAATAAAATAATGATTTTTACTTAACAAAAATACAAAAAATTAAACATTAATGTTAAAAAAAATACCGACATGTAAAAATAAAATAAAAAATAAATAAAAATAAAAAAATCTCTAGTCTACCGGACTATTTTCTAATACCAAGTCCTGGAGGCCGATCCAAATCTCATCTGCAAGGCCTATCCTAAGTCCTTCGGCTTAGCAGTTCCTTCCTCAACTCTGCAAACAAAATATATTAATGGGGCCCACGGCTATTCTAATCTCAATCCCCCTCTCATATCCAAAACAAACGGGGCCTTAGTTATTATTCAATTTATACTTTATATGATTGTAATTTTGATTATGATAAGGATGCCTTTTGGTTATCCTCAAAGTGTTTGGTTATAATTTATTAAATTATGACACTTTTGGTATCATAACTTGATATGATATATACTTTTATTGTTTTATTATTTATTATTAATATTGATATGTATGGTAACATTACTCAATAAAAAGCAATTTTAGAGACTTTAAAAGAATTATTAAATATTCTACATAATATATTATATGGTTATGGGATCCACACACATGATTCCTATGACCATATGAGTATTGTGTAAAAAAATTATATATTATTTTTAGATTTTTAATATTCTGAAAAATAAAAA